AGCTACAAGACAAAGATGACCTGCCTCCAACGTCCGGTTAGAACAGTTACTGCATCCCGAAGGGCAATGGAGAAAGTCATCCACGACTTCTACTCGGATCTCTTCGATAGCCATGTCCATCTGCCCACTTATCAACTGCAACAGGATGGATACGTCGTCCCCTCAGTTACTCTCTTCCGAAGTCCGACACGCCATCAAGTCGGTGAAGAATCGTACAGCACCCGGTCTCGACAGGGTCAAACCGGAACATCTGAAGAATGCGCCGCCAGTCATCATCAAAACTCTGGCTCGACTCTTCACGCGCTACCTGTCGGAATGCAAGGTACCCACTCCGTGGAAAACCAGCAGGACCGTGTTGCTGTACAAGAAGGGAGACCTTGGACGACATTGGCAACTATCGCCCAATCTGCCTGCTGTCTGTAATCTACAAGCTATTCACTCGAGTCATCCTTAACAGGATCGGCAGAATACTAGATGAAGGACAGCTATGGCACTACGGCCATATTCTCCTGGGTCGAGAATCGCCTGAAGTTTCAGCGAAAGTACAGACGCGCTTCGTTTCGTCATCGACTTAGAAGAAGGTCTGTTCAATTCTGAAGAGACGAAAGGCGGCGCGGGTCATCGAAGCCTTGGGCAACCAGGGCGTTCCTACTCAGTACATAGGGATTCTTCGTGAGCTTCACAGCAACTTTACGACCAGGATTTCACCATTCTACATGGAGGTCATCATCGACGTCAAGAGAGGGGTTATCCAGGTCGTTTACGTGCGATAGGAAGCTTGTAATTACCTATTACGTTAGTAATCGAGAGCAGAAACTCTATCCATTCAGAGGTTCCACAAGGAGTGCGCATGTTTCGTCAACTTATGGAAGCTGTCCACTACCTGCACGAAAGGAATATTGTCCATCGGTAATAAAGTCATTCATTTTCCAGTAAGGCATATCTTCGCCAATCTGTTCAGAGACATTAAACTCGAGAATATACTCATTGACGCAAATGGCGACGCTAAACTGGCCGACTTCGGATTCGCCCGATTTATCGCTCGTCGAGAGAGGTATATCGAAAAAAATGTGATCAAATAATTTTAACAAGGACATGACGCAGGATAAATTGGTGTGGGTGTATCCCCCCCACCTAGTTAACTTACATTTCGCGTAAGATGGTTAAGCACCCCGTACTGCGCGTTGGAAGAAGTGAAACAGAGTCGCAGGGAACTGTATCAAAGATCCAATAGCTATGACTTCAATTTGAAAGGACCTCTCACCATTAAAATAACTAGTAACATATGCTCACGCGTACTGTCAGGTCACGGTCTTTTTGTGGCACGAGACCATATTCTGCTCCGCAAATAACCGTTTACAAGCCCTATGACTCGTACGCAGCGGACTGGTACGCTCTTGGAATCGTTCTGTACACTATGCTTGTAGGAAAATGGCCAAAGGTGAACCCTTCATGGAAATACCTTTTGTTTACACCATTTGAATATTTGAAGCAACAGTCCCAGCAGGGTTTTTACCTCGGCATTTAATGGCTGGCACGATGCGCGGAGAAAGGGAGCAGAACAGCTTCAAGTGGGCGTGGTTATCAAGTGTCTTGAGGGGATTGCAGCCGATTGTTAACCACGCCCACTTCGAAGCTGTTCAGCTCCCTTTCTAGCGGCTTTCTAAAGGTGAGTTTTTTGTTCAGTCACACTTTTTATGTTCTTGACTAGGGCTAGCGCATCGTTCCATACCATTAGTGTCGAAGGTAAAACCCTGCTGGGACTGTTGCTTTTAAGCAAATAAAAGCGGAAATATTCACATAGTGAAGGTAGGAAAGCCGCTTACGAGGAGTCCGCCTCCTCAGTGTGCAAGAACAAGCACTTTCAGTTCTGCCGGATCATTCATTATACCGTTTCTGCGCAGTGTCGCCGACTCGCGCTTACACTCTACTGAACCTGTTGAAGTGTTGACGCATTGTGTCAACGCGCAGACACTGTCGATAACTGCAGATTGGTACCTTTATGAATAAAACATGCGAGAGAGTGATCGCAAGGCATAAGAAGGGCCAAATGGGCGGCAGTGAGGAAGTGGAGACCTGGAATGATGCTCCGTAATAAATCTCCACCAGGTCTGGGAAATCCGCTCTGCCCGTTGAAGGGGGGGCAACCCTGGTTTAGCTAGACCTAGGGAGGAAGGATACCGCGAGAGGAATTATGGAGGGCGTAACCTACCCACAGGAATCATCGTCAGCTTCGTCGCCACAAGTTTGTGAATTGGGCGCTCATCGTTACGGACCGTGACCCCCCCCCCCCCCCTCAGGATGTACGCGGCACCCATACTTCCATACTGTGTCAAAAAACAAACAAAAGAACTCTCCTGACTTTCACGGAAAAATGTCTTGTTTCTAGAAGCCCAAAAGAAAAGGTCGACAAGAAGAAGAAGAAGTCGCCGAAGAGGTCAAGCCTGCAGAAGTTGAGGAGGAGAAGCCAAAAGAGAAGGTCGACAAGAAGAAGAAAGAAGTCGCCGAAGAGGTCAAGCCTCCAGCTGAGGAGGAGAAACCAAAAGAGAAGGTCGACAAGAAGAAGAAAGAAGTCGCCGAAGAGGTCAAGCCTCCAGCTGAGGAGGAGAAGCCAAAAGAGAAGGTCGACAAGAAGAAGAAGGAAGTCGCCGAAGAGCCACCAACCGAGAAGGTGGTCAGGAAGGAGGAGGAGAGAGCTGAGGATGAAGATCTGGAAAGATCTCCACGCGAGGAGCTTGATTCTATAATGGAAAAACCAAGGCGCCGGACCGAACTGGAAGGAGAGGAGGAGACACCCACTGACAAAATTGGCCTGCAAGGTAAGCACTTTGTAAAATTACAGTTAGTTTGAAGGATCATTTCTGTGTTGTGACATATACGGTACAAGTAGAGTAAAACGCTTCAAACTTTGACAAAATTTTATTGAAACGGGAAGGAGGAGTCATGAGAATAAAGGGGAATTAAGCTCTTCAGCTCTCGATTAGGAGTGTAATGGATACCATAATTCGGCGGGTTTTGGTCGAAATATGCCTAGCAGGAACCCGTTAGAAAGTGGCGTTATTAGAGGTTCTTTGTACCTTCAAGAAAACTAACACAGTGCTAACTAGAATTTGGATTTGGCTGAAAAGTTTGCTCTTTGGGAGTAGTTATGAATATTGAACCTTGAGGAGAGCAATCATAGAAGTCAGCAAGCGAAATTCATCATCATTTCCAGGTACTTGCATTACGCAGCATCCTGCTCCACAAACAATTACCGAGGACGGTCAGACAGCGATCTTCGTCTGCAAATTCAGTGGCCCAATTGAAAACGTAAAATGGTTCCGTGATAACCGAGAGCTATGGCCACAAAAGGAAAAAGTCGAGATTGAGACCAGCAACGAGGAATCCAAACTTGTCATTTACAATGTTGATCAACGCGACATCGGACACTACCTTGTTTCGCTTAACGACGAAACGGTGTCGAAAGAAGCAGAACTAATTTACTACACAAAACCATTACTCTGCTATGACGGTCCCACTGGTCCGATTACTGCTGGAAAACACTTCGACTTCACTGTTGCATTCAGAGGATACCCGACACCACGACTGGATATGCTTCTAGATGACGCCGATTTGAGAGTGGTTGCCGACGTGGAGACGTACGACGATTATGTGTCGGTTCGAGTGAAAAAGGTAAAGAAAACTTGCAACGTGAAATTCACAGCAAGAAATGAGCATGGCGAAGACTCGCTGGATATACCTATCGAAGTCTTCGACGTGCCATCTGAGCCATTGAACGTAACAGCAAGTGATGTTGGATCCACAAATGCCACAATTTCGTGGACGGCACCCACGCTCTGTAACGGTGCACCGATCACTGAGTATTGTGTGGAACGGAAATCCCTGGAGTTTTCACGATGGCGAACTGTTGGCCATGTGCCAGCTGGGCTCCTCTCATTCACCACTAGTGATCTGTTACCGAATGAATTCTACGCTTTCCGTGTGAGCGCCGTCAATTCCATTGGACAAGGAAAACCAAGCAAAGCTGTGGACGTCGAAACGACGGAAGAAACGGAAGGTAATCCACATTTCCATTTTTTAAGAAAAAGAGGATTTGCTCTACCCCTCCCCCCCACCCGCTTCCGTACATGTTATGGAGCGTTCATAGTTGGCGATCGTACGTGCGATTAGGCGATTAGGCGATTAGGCGATGATTCAAAAAGAAAAGTATACGTATCGATTAGGCGATTAGGCGAGTAGGCGAGTAGGCGATGAGAGAAGGGTTACTCCGCCCATCGAGCGATCGCCTGATCGCCTAATCTCCTGCTCGCCTACTCAGCTACTCGCCTTCAACGCTCTATGGGCGTAGCAAACCAAACAATATTCTAGATTCTAGATCATTCATATAGAATAAAATAACTGACAAGGTATTGTAGAGCGGAAGAAGTACTTTCAAATGGTATGTGGTTCACCGAATAGTACTTGTATTGAGTGATTGTGCGCTCGAAAAAAAAGAAACGCTACGATATTATTTTCCAACCTAACATTATAAAGTGGCTGGAAGAGAACCTGTGAAGGTAGCTCGAAAATCCAGCAACAGAACTCGTTTGACCGCACTTGTATCTCTTCTTGGATTGCTTTCAA